AGAATCAATGTCGCTTGGCAAGAAGCGGCTCTGACCTGGAGCCAACGTAACCTGAAGCCGAAAGATTTAACCCCTAACGCGAGACTGCCTCGGCAAAGGTTGTCGCGCGGTGAGAGCAACCCCCCTTATCGTGTGAGTCTCCAGCTCTGGATCTAAACGCCCCAGGCCTTCGGCCTCGGCGGATTTCCTCTGTTGTGAAGCTAGTTTGAAGAGTCCCCGCACCGGCACATGGCACGGCTTAGCCAAGCAGCAGGCTTGCAAGCGAAGCTGGAGCTCGCGGACCTCGAGTCAGAGGCAAGTGGGGAGTTCTTTTGTATAGGAAATGCATCGAGGATCATGGAGGCCAAAGGGGAGTTGAGTTAGAGTGTCCTGCCGGGGCAGGAGCTTCGCGTGAAGCTGAGCCACGCGGAGAAGAGCCTGGAGGCCTCATTCCTCAGGTTTTTCCTCCCATGGGACAGCGCTTGAGAGTTTTGAGAGTTAAGAACACAAAGTGGGAAGCCCCTCTAGAGTACGGAGTTGGTGATGAACATAGTCTTGCCTTGGGAGTTGAAAGTTTAAAGTGTGCCGAACATCCCATGTTGTGGGGAGATGGGGTCGGGAGAAAGTCTACATCAACACCAACCTCAGCAAAACATTGCATTAGCCCGCGCATTCGCCTACGCACACTCTCTCATTCACGCACACCCGCACACTTTCGGGCTCAATCCGCGATGCGCTCAGATGCGCTCACTCGCGTTCTCATTCCATCCACTCACTCCCGGGCTCCCTAGCAAACCAACTCATTTATTAGTCTACTTGATGAATTGGAGTGAGCGACTGGAGGGAGCGGCTCCATTGCCATGGCTCTTTGCTTCATGTCCCCTCGTTCACTCTGCGAGACCCCTCCATGTACTCAACACCTACTTGCTCGCTTACCTCAGCCGCTCACCTCAAGCACTGAAATTCAAACAATCCACTCAGACACAGACACTGATTCTTTGACTCCCTCACCTCACGAACCCACCCACCAACCTAGCCACCCCGCCTGCCCGCGCATTCGCTCGCTCGCTCACTCAGTCACTCTCCTCAATCACACATTTGCCACTACGGCTGTTGTGCTGCAGCTAGGCTAAGCCGCGCCTGCTAGCTTTTGATGGCCACGGCTTGCGTGCCACGTGAGGAGCTGCAGGCTACAAAGGCTCTGCAAGCGGAGCAGCTGACACTTCTCAAGAGGCCCGTGTTCCTTTGAATTTTCAACTACTGGCCGTGAGTGCTGCGCGTAACCGCAA